ACTTTTTATCAAGAATACCTGCCATGAGGCAAACACTCACACACACACACACACACACACACACACACACACACACACACACACACACACACACACACACACACACACACTCACACTCACACTCACACACGCACACTCACACTCACACACACACACTCACACTCACACTCACACACGCACACACACGCACACACACGCACACAGTCAGACACTCACTCGGAGATTAAGCACGAGTGCGGCGTCTGCTCCTGTTTGCAGGCACGAGCTGTGATTTGGTGCCGTAGAAAGAAAAGTGTAAATGTGTCTTTGAACCTGGAACAAACACAGGAGGCTGTAAATGAACAGACTGAAGTTCAAAAGTCAAAATTACAAAAACTGCTTCAAAAAACAAAACGAAACAAAATGTGAAAGTTCCGGTTCTGAAAAGCGACGAGTATGTTTTCAATCAAGACAAACCACACAGGCCGCGAAGGACACCAGGCTGCCACCAGGGGGCGTCGTAACACTACACGGTCCTATTGCAATCATCGTCTCAGCACATGGAGGGACAGGTGGTTCAAAAGTGAAAGAAAACTGTGAAAAAGTCAAAGCAGACGCTGAAGCTGCCAAAACAGCTGTGTTAGAAGCAACGCTGCAAAGTGACAGCATGAGGAAGCAGCACTCAGGCAAAGTTCACACGGCCCGTTAGTTCTGCATTACTCATTGCAACAGGCAGGAAACACACATGACACATTCAACGTCTCTCTGCATCACACTCACACCACAGACTCACAGAGGGAGGGAGCAGAGGAGAGGAGGTGAACCACAGAAGGAGCAGAGGAGACGCTGAGAGCCTGCACACTGGACCGATCGAGCGCCTTCAAAGGGAACAGACGAAGAGCGAGACCAGAGAGGAGCAGGAAGACGTAAAGGAGAAGTTCAAACCTGAACTACAAAAGTCCGGCGTAAACGCTACGCAGAAGAGAAAGAGCTGCGAAAGGCAAACAGACGAAGAGGAGCAGGAGGAGAACGTGCACAACCAGAGGGGGAGACCCTCACCCTTTAAGGAGCAGGGAGGAGGATTAGACATATAAGGAGACGAGACAGCAGGGACGCCAACATCGACAAAGGTGGAGCAAAAAGAGGAGCGGAGAAAGACGAGGTGAGGAGAGGTGAAGCAGCGGTGTCGTCATGGAGGAGGACATCAGGAAGCAGGGGGTGCTGTACCTCCAGCAGCAGAGGTTTGGAAAGGTACCCACCTGTTCACCTGTTCACCTCTGTCATTGGTCGCCTGTGTCACCATTAGTCGTATTCTTCCTCTGCTGTGGTCACTGCCCTGCACTGACCTGCTGTCTGAGTTTGTGTTCGAGGCTATTCACGTGAAGAATGTCAGCACACCTCCCGTCCCACGGTCACCTTTTACTACTCATGCGTGTTGGTGTTTTGTGTAACGTGTATTCTCCTGCGTGCCTTTACAGAAGTGGAAGCGGGTGTGGTGCGTGCTGTACAGAGAAAGCTCCTGCTCCATCTCCAGGCTGGAGTTCTACGAGTGCAAAGACGGAGGCAACGCCGAGAAGAATGACAAAACCCTGCGCAAGCAGCAGGAGCACAAGAAGGTGCAGCAGACTCTACTGGACTCTACTGTGTTCTTTCTTCTACTGTGCCGTGCCTGCCGATGCTCCGCCGCTGTTCGTCTTCTTCTGCTGGACGTTACTCTCGCTCTGTCGCTGCTTTTTGTCGGCTCAGCATCGTTCCAGGTTATTACCATAGCAATAATGCACGCTGGTACCCAGGTGATAGTGTGTGTTTACGTACGTGTCCTAGGTGATCCGTCTGGCGGACTGTATCCGGGTGACGGAGGTGGAGATGGAGGGATGTCCCAAAGACACCGGGTCCTTCCTGGTGGAGACCACGGAGAAGATCTACGTGTTCGCCGCCGACAGGAACCATCTGGATGACTGGACACACAAGCTGTGTGAAATCGCCTTCCCTGTAGGCACACACACACACACACACACACAC